GAACAATGACCATGCAGCCCGGAAAACTCACAACAACCCAGTGATTCTGGCAATGAAAGCCTTCGACAATACATTGTTGTTATTGTTACCACTTTCCTGTTATCTCAGTTGAGACACAAAGTATTTCTATCAAACCAAAATTGTAAGTGAAGAATGTTGCTCAAAGCGGTGTTGAATAATGGTAACTTCTGTAATAACTGAAAAAGTACATACGCTGGAATAATGAGAGATTACACCAGTAAGCCATGAACAGGATTCCATCCCTTGATTTATAACTATCTTTTACCATGCTGTTTCCAAGATCACTTTGAAAACTAGCAATGCCTTAAACCTGTGAGGCTGCAGAATTTTACTGGCAAATAAGTTTATTCAAGTGATATGCATTTTTAATTCTAATTTTGCATCTCTTTAATCAAAAATATACAGTCTTCCTGGTTAAAAAGCCATATATCGGTAGTTCTTATCTAAATCTCTCTAGACTTAAATGTCCTTGCTTTATTGAGAACTTATTTTGAGCCATTTATTCATTTATAAGAAAAAAAAGTCTCAAGTCTTCTGGATTCCTCATAGCTGTCCTTCATCTTTTGCTTCTTTTTTTTTTTAGCCATACAAGAACTGGGTGTGGGGTTGGAGAGTCTCATATCCTCCAATATTCTTCTTTTAAAAAAATATTTGCTTTAGATCAAGTTTTACAACTTTCCTGCAGATGAGCCCAAATGCATTCAGCCAGCAACAGATTTACTGTACCTTGCACTTGGGGAAACAGTAGTGCGTCACCTTTCCATTTTGGACAGATTTCCAGTACAACATAATTAGCACCTGCGGGATCCAAACGGGTGCAGTAATATGCATTAGGTAATTCTTCAAGGCTTCTCTCCTGCTACTTCAACTGCCTTTGGAGTTTGGAGAATGCAATTCTGAGATAAATGTGGTGGACTGAGGTTATGCCACTCCAAGATGAAACAGCCTTTCCAGTCTAAGCATTATAAGCATGAAGTAACCACAACAGTAAAGAATATGTAGGCCTCCAGATCAGGGTACTGGGCCTGAGATAAATTAAAAGTGAGGGCTCACAAGTTGCTCAAAACATCTATGCTTGCAGGTTATTGTCATTTTAATGCAGAAAATATAATTTGGTTGTAATTGTTTTTGTGTTTATGCAAAAGTTCAGCAAGGCTGTCACCCAGAAATAATGTGTTGCTTATTATAAATTTCACTACATAACAAAACACCTACAATGCTCTAGAGCAGTGGTTCTCAACCTGTGGGTCTCTAGATGTTTTGGCCTTCCACTCCCAGAAATCTAAACAGCTGGTAAACTAGCTAGGATTTCTGGGAGTTGTGCAGGCCAAAACATCTGGGGACCCACAGGTTGAGAACCACTGCTTTAGAGTTAATTAATGATAACTTCTAGCTGGCCATGTGAATTGTCCTTTAACTTTTGTTGACAGGGAAAATGAACTATAGTTTACATCCTGTAAGATACTTACAGCAAGGTGGATTATAACAGGGAGTAGAGATGTAGCTAAATCTATAGGACTATTGTGCAATGATCACGCAGCATAGTGTGACCCAGTGCACATGACCTGATGCACAACAGGAGACATTGCACAATGGGAGGCCCTGTTGTAGAGCAGAATGTCCTACTAAGTGTCCTGTTGCGCAATGTTGCAATTCACTAGCATGATTGCAAATCATGTCGGTTTCATAACTGTATCATTATAAAATCATGCATTGTAGCCTCCTGCAGAATCTCAGCCTTTGTCCTTCAACATCTCATAGGTTTGCAGAGTTTTAGTTTAGGGAGAGAAAATGTGTCTAATGTTATGATCTATCCCCTTCCGCTTGAGGGCAAGGGGATTGCCACTACCCTGTTGTTGAGGTGTGCTTTCAAGTCGTTTCTGACTTATGGTGACCTTAAGGCACACCTGTCACGGGGTCTTCTTGTCAACATTTATGCAAAGGGGGTTTGTGTTTTCCTTCTGCAGTTGAGAGGAGATTTGAACACTGTTCTCAGACTGAAAGAGTGTGATTTTCCCTGGCCATGTGGGGATTCAGACCCTTATTTTGAGGTGGGAAATATTTGATCCTACTCCAACACTCAGTCCACTCTACTATCCTGGCTTCTTCCTGCATGGAATATTGTTCCAAATGTCTGTATACACAGTCCTGACAATTTTGGCTCTTACAATTTTTACAGGAGCTAGAGCTCTCATGTCTTTTGCATGGGATAATATTGTCCCATTTGTTTTCGAGGAAACCATGTTGAAAAATGACCAATGCTGTTTAAAAGTACCGTTGGCTCCACATCTGAGAGATTTCATCATGTCAGGTCTGCCTGCACCAGATTTCATTCTTCTATCATTAAATTGACTTATGTCATTAATGCCTATATAATTAAAAGTGGCCCCTGGTGGCACAGTGGGTTAAGCCACTAAGCTGCTGAACTTGCTGACCGAAAGGTTGGTGGTTTGAAACCAGGGAGAAGGGTGAGCTCCCAGTGTTAGGCACAGCTTCTACCAACCTTGCGGTTTGAAAATATGCAAATGTGAGTAGATCAATAGGTACCGCTTCTGCGGGAAGGTAACGGCACTCCATGCAGTCAAGTTGGCCACATGACCTCGGAGGTGTCTATGTACAACGCCAGCTCAGAAATAGAGATGAGCACCACCCCCAGAGTCAGACATGACTAGACTTAATGTCAGGGCAAACATTTACCTTTAATATAATTAAATGAACAGTTGTGGCTTGAATTACAAACTGTATTTTGGCTATGAAAGCTTTTTTGAAAAGTAGTATCTTTGAACGCTGTCCTCCAAAAGATTAAAACCTTTGCATTGTCTACATGTGAACTCAGGTCTGCTAAATGTTATCTCATGTATTCATATAAAGTACTTAAAAGCACAGATTATGTTGTGAGGTCCTAAGGCTGCCTTGTTATCAGAGGAGCCAGAGTGAATCCCTTATCCAGTGGCTAGGCTGACTGAAGGATTTGCAGAGATATAGCCCCAAAAGTATTCTCCCACCTCAACAATATCTGTCTACTTAATAGGAATTAACAGGGGCTGGTGTAAATTTGAGGGGGAACAACTTATCTAAGTTGTCAGTGGACCCCCTCTTATGGTAAGCCTATTTGGTAGACACAGATAGAAGCAACTCTTCAATGGAATTATTCCAATTTCAATTTCCCACAATTTTTACCAGTGTGTTTTGAGTTGGAAGGATAATGTTAACTTTTAAATGGCTGCCTCATTTAAGTGCTCTTTACATCTGTTGCTGCTTCCATTTCATAAATAAAACTGGGTTGAGATAAATGTTAAGTCCACCAAGGTGGCATTTTGCCAAAGTCTCCTTGGGTCTTCCAGGTGTTTTGGACTTCAACTCCCATAATTCCTGGCCTCAGGCCCCTTCCTTTTCCCCCTCAGCCGCTTAAGCGACCACTTTTGCCCACATATTCCTTTTCTGTGTTCCTTCTGATGGAAATGTGGCAGGCCTCTATAACGTGGGGCCTTTGTAAGTGGTGATTCCAAGCGTAGGGAGTACCCTTCCAAAGGATGACTGCCAGAGTTTAGTAAGGAATGTATCTTCCGTTGTGTGGCCCTAAGGATGATTATGTAGGAGCAAATGTCTTTAAGTCGGAGATTGGAAATATTACTTTCAAGTTCACAGATCCTGGGAACTATGCGCTGTTGGCTTTTTAAAGTAAAATTTCACAGCTTTGTCTTACTCTGTGCATCCTGACAGATGTAGGAATTTCTTCTAGTCAGACATAATGATGCCTGACTCTGTTACAAACACAGAACTAAATGTGTGGATTCATCCATTTCCTTGTTCATAGAATCCTTGGCAAAGTTTTGATTGCATACAAAACTACTTTTGTTCTTTTCTCCTGAATGAAAACCTGATGTCACAGAGAACAATCAGCTGTCACCTCAACAAATTCCCCATTGCAGCCAATGATGCACAAAAAGCAGAGTCACACACAAGTGTGCCACATCTATTAGCTAGTGTCTCTGTGCCTGATAAGTAGCACAGCATGGAAAAGAAGTGATGTCGAGGACATCTCACCAGTTTGACCTACCATTCTAGGCACTTTATTGACTTTCGACATTTTACTTTAATGATAATAATAATAATAATTTTTAGTTGTACCCCGCCACCATCTCCTCAAAGGGACTCGGGACGGCTCACAGAAGCACTCCAAGTGCCACATGCAGACAACAATACATAATACAGTGACATAAGTATAATCAACAGCACATTAAAATCTCAGTGATAAAATTACAAAAAATTGACAATTATACAATTCCTAAAACGCAGTGAAACCTGTGGGCCAACAATCAATCGAAGGGCGGGCCAGTATTATCACCGATTCATCACATTGGCCATGGATTACTCAGGATCAAAGGCCTATCTGAAGAGCCATGTTTTTAGACTCACGCGGAAGGCCTGAAGAGAGGGGGCTCATCTAACCTCTTTAGGGAGGGTATTCCAGAGCCAGGGAGCCACCACCGAGAAGGCCCTCTCTCGCCCCCACCAACCAAGCTTGAGACAGTGGTGGGACTGACAGTAGGACCTCCCCAGCAGATCTTAATGCCTGCACCGGTTTGTAGAAGGAGATGCGGTCTCGAAAATAGGTTAGACCCTAATTGTATAGGGCTTTGTAGGTAATCACTTGCACTTTGAAACTTATCAAGAGCCAATGGAGCTGCTTGAAAAGGGGCAAGCTTTAGGGAGCATACCAAATTAAACTGATTAGCTGTCCTGAGGGTTAGAGGTGTCTCCTTGCCTTGACGTTGCATGTCCTTTGTGCCGTTGCAGAGAAATATCTTTGAGAAAAATCTATGTGGGTTTTCCCAAGAGAATACTGAATTTCCTAGAAATTTGCCTTTATGATCACTTGCCTATTTGGACTGTTTGTGGGTATTCGCCGAACTCAGTTTTGTTTTCTCTTGTTGCTTTTTAATTTTGCTTTTCTTTTCTGTTTTTTTCCCTTCTAGGCCCTTCACCTGACACGAGTCCTAAAAGAAAAAAAGAAAACCCTTTGCCAAAATCAACTGTCAGCAAGGACAGGGATACCGTTTACAGCTTATTACCTTTTGTCAGCCCTGCTTTCTTTTTTCCTATTGAAACAGAGACTGTTAATGAGCCCCCAGAAGCAGAGTGGCGAACTGCCTTGCCGGGAACGGAACTCCTTCGGAAGGATGCAAAATCTTCCTGTCACGGGGTGGTCCAGCACCAACTTCTGGAGAAGTTGGTTCAGCCACTATCCTGTTTCACAGCACACTGTGTAGCCCTGACAATATGGATTCTTGTATGGTGTATGGTGTACCAACATGGTAATGGGTTAATGGATGCTTTTGGCTGGCTTTTATTTTTCAGGGTTCCCCCCTTCCCCACCCCCAAACCTACCACTCTGGGTGTATTCTCCCTCTGCCCCTGGAAAATGCTTTAATTGTTCCTTTTCACACTCTGTTTCCCTATTAATATGAAAAGCAGGAACAATATATGCACAGTGAGAAATCTGGATCCATTTTGGCTTGAAATACCAAGAGCACTTGAATATTACAGTCCTTACGGCATCTACTAACTAATTGGATTCAAGAGGTAGTTTATGAGGAGGAGAGTGGTTGTGTTTGTGTTTGGTTTGGTTTTTGTATTATTATTTTTTTAAAGATTGGTTAATTGGTTGTTTCTGATTCTGTTCTCAATGATGTCCCTGAGCAGGTTCTGTTCCTAAATGTAAGAGTATGCCTTTCTTTATATTCTCAGCACACCAAGAGGGTGGATTTTTACCTCACCAAACAAGCCGTCGCCAATTTTGCATCCCAGCCAGTGTTCAGAAAGTGTTTTGTGGGGAAAGGCGCTTTATAGTATTTCGTGAGAGAGAAGGCAGCTGACTTACCCTCAGTCAGATCAGCTTTGGCCCAGTGTGTGATGCCAACCATTCTGCCCAAATAGCCGCAGTGGTTTTGGGGTTCTTGTACGCTTGCCGTTGACCTGCCCATACAGCTTAGCACCTCTCTGAGTAAGGGAGCTGCACTGTTTACCATCTTGCCAGTCAATTTTTAACCAGCTAGAAGGCATTAGTTTGCTTTCAGATGGATAATAATGACAATAATGACAATAACAATAATAACCAAGCAAAACCTAACAAAAAACTATATTGCATGAATGCAAAGTTTTTACGTATTATGCATCATCCAGAACTTGGGTGAGTTATTACTTTGGTAATTATTTTGTACATCCTCTTCTTGATTAGTCTTTCCTTCTTGTGATGATGCATCATTGAGACCTGGGAGGAGAAGGTGAGGGAGGGCAGGAAAGAGAGTCAGGGAGGGACAAAAAAATAAAAATAAAGATAGCTTTTCATAGGAGCGTAGACTGTACTTGGATAAATTCCACTGGAAAAAAAACAAAGTAGTTTTTATATATTTTGCTTATATGGATTTCTTTTGTAAATTTATACAGTAATAATGACTGACAGTTATGGTGCTGTGCAGGTCCTGTTGAATTACTTTTTATTGATATCCTTCTGGGGGAGTGAGACAAAGAGAGGAGGAGAGACATGGGAAAACCCAATGGTACTTTTTAATTTTTCCTTTTAAAAAAAAATCAGTGTGAAGATACTCTGGCTGGGACAGTCTACACCAATTCCTCCTAAGTGATATATGAAAAAACTTTTTGGCGTGAAGACAGAATACATATAAATATATAAATATATTTTATTATGTACAGAAACAGACCATTATGCATGAATGTTAGGAGAACAGACTAGCATTTTAACCCAAAGTTTCAGTGCATGAGTTTTCACTGGCACATGAACTATGTACTGTGTGGTGTGACTTCCTTCAGCCGCCACGCATTAGTGCGCATGCACAGGTAAGGTGCATGCACACACTCTCTTTCTCTCTCTCTCTCTTTCTCTCTCTCACACAAAGACACACACACACATCTGTGGGCCCTGTATTGCTCCTTCTTTTCCACCCCTTTGAGGTAATATTGGTGAAATAACAGCTCCTCGTGTGATGGAAGTTTTGTTTTGTACTGTAGCCTCCTCATGAATGTGCTGCACTATTCTATAGATGAACATGTGAACTCCATCATGCAGTTCATAACTGAATTATATTAAAAAAAAAACCTCTGTGCTATTGTGGTTCTGAATAGGTCATAGAATTAAATTAAAAAACCTTTCCAAATAGTTACGATTTTTATCCTTTTTCAAAACAAATAAATAAATATGGGGTATTTTTTTAACAATTAAGGTGGTATATTTGTCAATGGCAGGGTCGAGTTTATCATACTTCTTTTAATCAGAGATAACCAATGTGTGTGTGTTTATACTCCACATTGGAAAGGGCTTCCCCAAGAGAAAAACGCTATAAAATGATCATCTGTTCCAGAGACTTAAAAATATGTGTTTATTTAGAGAGACTCAGTTACAGGTACCTATTACCAAAGCTAGTTAAGAATTTGTTCGCAAATGTTCACTACATGAGCATCTGGTACATCATTATGTATGAATTTAGGTGTCTGAGATTGTTTGTTATTTGATTTAGCAGTGTATTTGGTGACTGACCACTTATTCTATGTGTACGATTCTGTCCTCCTCGGTGGGAACTGTGGATAAAAATCTGATATCCAACAAAATTCCTGGCTTTCTCCTCTCACCTCTCCTGTTGAGCTGCCTCTACCCCAGAGGTTCTCAACCTGTGGATCCCCAGATGTTTTGGCCTTCAACTCCCAGAAATCCTAACAAATGTTAAATTAGGTGGGATTTCTGGGAGTTGTAGGTTCAAACAACTGGAGACCCACAGGTTGAGAACCACTGCTGTATTCACTTGAGGGTAGGCGGAGATAAAGGTATAGCCTTCAGAAGGTTGAGGTACAGGAACAAATAAATCCTTCCATTTGCAAGCTCTCAATTTGTCAAGTTATTAATTTTCATATAGCACAGAAACTGTGGTTGCAAATCGGCCAAGGTTAAGTATGTCTTCAGTCCTGTTGCTTTCAATGGGACAGAATTAGTGAAATTTTAAGATGCATAATTTCCTTGAGGTAAATTCCTGCTAAATGCAATGAGTTATCTTGAGTAAACATGAATAGGATCAGACTCAGTTCTAAACACACCTGCTGAGTTCAGGGTTGTTTGCCACTTCCTCTATAGGTGCTCCTATATAAATTCCATAGCAAGACTCACCACATGTTATGCAAATACAGTATGCAAGAAAACCCAACAAATACAGTATGCAAGAAACCCCATAGAAAGGAAAAGGTCATGAATCAAAATTACATAGCCGTATTTTGCATAGGTAATTCCACAAGTTCAATCCCTAACACCTCCAGATAGAGCTGGTAAAGTCTGGTCTAAAACCCCATTGAGTTGCTCCTAAACAATAGCAACAAAGCTGAGCTTGGTGGATCAGTGGTCTATGGTCTTAAATCCATACAAGTCAGCTGCAGCAATCTTCTTAACTTCTCAAAAAATACTGGGTTGGCAAGGATAGGTATGCACATTTCTTCTTTCGGAAAACATCCCAAGCTTCACTAGCTCATTGTGCACTGCCCAAATCCATTTTTCTCCCAGTAACTGTCAGGCCATTCTCTCCATTTTATCTCTATCTTTGTTTGGAGAATTGCAGCTAGTGTAAACCACAATCCTCTTGGCCTTTCCCTTTTTCCTCTGGCCATTAAGTGGAGATAGCAGAGTCCTTGGCCTAAACACATTAAAGGCACCAGATGCCACCTGATATTGGGAGCTAAGCTAGGTCAGCACTGGTTAATACTTGAATGGGAGATGGACAATGAGTAGCAGGTACTGTAAACTATAATTCAGAAGAAGGAACTGGCAAAACCACCTCTTAAGTGTTCCTTGGCCAAGAAAATCCTATGAAATATATGGGGTCACCATAACCTGGCCCCATTGACCTCAATATGATACAGTGAACTTAGAGGAGCACAACTTTAGCAGGTTGTGTTATGGCAGTGGTTCTCAACCTGGGGTCCCCAGATGTTTTGGCCCTCAACTTCCAGAAATCCTAACAGCTGGTAAACTGGCTGGGATTTCTGGGAGTTGTAAGTGAAAAACATCTGGGGACCCCAGGTTGAGAACCACTATGTTATGACTTCACTTACTCGAACCTACTATTTAGTTTTTAAACTGAGCAACTGAGAACTTCTGTATTTACAATGGACACTGTCAAGCCAAATCAAAGCACATCGCAGCTTGGTTCTATGCAAGTTTACTCAGGAGGAAGTTTCATTGGTAGTAAACCTTGAGTTGTAAACCCCCTTGAATCCTATCTTGAGAGAAAGAAAGCATATAAATTTAGTAAATAAGAAACGCATTTTAGGTCACAGAAAAATCATTCTGAAATGAGTCCATAGAGGGGTAAAATTTGTTCCATTTTGTTTACCTCTGCAATTGGTCCTCTTATTCCTAACTCCAGATGTTTTTATTCCACTCTCATTTGGGAGTCTGAAGCACCTGGAAGGCATCCGATTGGAAGAAGATTGTGCTATTTGAAAGTAAACCCACAATAAATCCTGATTTAGTTACTGCTCCACTTCAGATGTAACACTAAACTGTGTTATAAGTACTATACTTACAATAAACACCAGATCTCTTCCTTTTTCCTCTTGTCTTCAAGGGAGGCAGATTGAAAGCTTCAACTTTCAGTTTTGGATAAACCACAACCTCCTGAAACATGTTTAAATGTCCCCTATATCATCATGAATAAGTCTAAAAAAATTAATCAAAAATTATCTCAAAAAACCAGAGTCAACTTAACTACAGGTCAATGTGACTCTTATAAAAAAAGAAGAATCCCTGCCTTCAAGGAAAAAGCCATGACTTATCCATGGTTCATTATTAAAATACATAATGTTGGCATCAACGCCTGCCCATGACTTATAAAGGATGTCGACTTATACACGAATGTGTACTGTAGGTAATAGCAGCTATTGGGGAAATTTGTTGTTGGCCATTTTGACAGTAAGGCCTAAACTGTAGTTAGTTAAGAAATCAGTTTCTGGGTATA